TATCCCCTCCTGCTGGGTTCTTACCCCCCACAGGATTCGGGATTTCCTCTTCAGAATTTCGCTGGTGCACGCCCGGTTCCCACCGGCATCCCCAATTCGTCAATTTTCCAATCACACACCCGTCTCACGTCTGTCAGGCTCACCCTATCATCGATTCATCATATGGTACCTTGACCACCGACTTGGTTTACAAATTCACTCCAGACTTATCCCTTATCGCCCCATACAACATCTTTCGAAGCAGAACAAGGCTCCTTGTAGATTGCATAGCATACAAAAGTCCTTAGCCGCTCCTAATAAGTCAACGAGAACAAGGCTAAGCCTCGGTCCCTGCGTCGTTCAGGGAATTTTAAGAACACAATCACGGCTGCCTTCTGTACCCTGCACTGCCTGCGGCCTTTCTTCCATCTCTGCAACCTCCATACCTTCACTTCTCCCCGACTCTCCACCACTCTGCACCAACGAGCCTTGCTAGCCCGCAGCTTCACCGCCTTCCCATTGACCAACAGCTCCGTATCCCCATACTTCGGCGATAAGCAATCCGTTGGTGAATGTGCTATAGACAAGTTCGTATTAGTCCTCCATAGGTTCGACAGTTTCTTTTGTCCCTATTCTTCCTAACATTAAAAGAACTCCAGGAGAGACCTCGTATCAGTACCATCTTCATCCGAATGGAGCGCTCCAGTCGTTGAGGCTATATAGATTGCCCAGGCGTTCTTATGGGGACAACACTGTGGCACGGATCGACAAAAGCTAGCCTTTCATTTGGCCCATCCTGCCGGCATATATTTCTTCACATCAGTCGGTTGCCCATGCTCCTGGATTGACACTAGCAGGGTTATAATGACAAACACGAGATGGCTGCCACCGCTAAAAAAAAAAGCCAATGCACGATTTCTATTCCTTTGTCCCGAGCAATTTTGAGAAATTTTGACGCACTTGTCATTCATGCGTGCATAGTCTAAAATGTACAGTCGTTATGACCCCGGTACCTCAAAACTTTTCTGCACTTTCTTTTTTTTTCCCCTGTACAAATTTTCATATGGGATTCTGGGCCCCGTTCCTAGCACGTGCTGCTCCCCACGAATAGCCCGTTTCTCCATGTTTGTGGGTCATCCTTGCACAATACATCGAGAAACGGTCTATTAGGATGGCTCTCCACGAATAGAGTAGCAGAGCTTAGTTCCTGTTGAGACAAAAAAGGAAAGGCGCAAGTACGTCGGAGTCGCACCCAACGTTCCGAATAGGCAATTTATGGCAGTTCCCGAAATGGAGCAAAACAGCGACTCTAAATCTGCCAAGCGCTAGTGCGGGCAATGAGGACATAGTACTCACACTAGGCCCTCAAAATCTCAAAATCGTAGGCGTTCATTTTGCGATTTTGCTATTTTGAGGGCCTACCGTAGTGTGATTGGCGCAGATTTTAGATCCCCCCCCCCCCCCCCCCCCCGGCTAAATTGCTGATTCCGAAACTCACACATGACCCCGGCGCCACTTTGTCTTTTTCCTTGCATAATTTTTCAAACTTAAAGTGTGTGTCACAGCCACAGTCTCCCCCCAAAAGGAGAGGCCGGGAATGCGCGCCCTAGTGCAGGTGGCGTGCCAATCTTCTCTGCTTTCACTTTCAGCATCATGACACCATGTGTCTTCGCGCATGAGAGGAGCTTCTTTTCTTTTCTCTCCTTTTCCTTTATTAATTCCGTTTGCCCATACCAATACCTCAGTTAGCAATAAGGATATGTCACGTCGATTTCCGTATCTGATGGTCTCGCGTCGTGTGTGTGTGTGTGTGTGTGTGTGTGTGTGTGTGTGTGTTTTCCTGTATCTTAATCTTCTCGGTGGCAATTTGGCAGATCTTAATCTTCTCGGTAGCAATTTGGCAAATCTTAATCTTCTCGGTGGCAATTTGGCAAATCTTAATCTTCTCGGTGGCAATTTGGCAAATCTTAATCTTCTCGGTGGCAATTTGGCAAGTAGCACACCTTGTCCAGCGGATGAGACAGGCACGAGGAAAAGGGAGGCAGACATATTCAAGTGGTATGACCTAGCAGGCTAACAGACATACACCTGGTCAATCACAAAGACCGTAAAGACGTGCACACTACACAGTCCTTTGGGACATCGGTGAAAATTGGAACGATACAGAGAAGGGGAAGATTAGCATGGCCCCTGCGCTTTCAAGGATGACACGCATAAATCGAGAGATCGTCCCAAGAAAATAAACAGCAAGACATGTCCAAACATCAAAGAATAGAAAACTTCTGCAGGTGGAATAAAACCGAAAATGCTCGCTAAGCCTTACGAAATGAACGTCAAATTTTGTGACATTCGTTCAGTTTCTTTTCGTAGTAAATGCGAAGGGATAATCGGTAGAAGGCGCCCACGCCAAAACCTTTTCGGTTTTGGCCGCCCAAAGTTTAGCCGTTTGGTACTACCGGCCCAATGACTTGCATCTGGGTACTACAGGCCCGCGTAGCTCCAAGGGTCCTACCGGAGCATGAATCGGGCGCATAACAGCGCCATATTCATTTTGATGTAAGAGAGGCCGGGGCTGGTAACGCTGAAGTATCGAATGAGGCCCACGTAAGCGATTTTGAAAAAGAAGGGCCCTACCGGTTCATGAATCTGGCGCAGAAACAGCGCCAATTCTTGAACCGGTAAAAACAGGCCCAGGGAGGTGTGGCCACGGCGCGAAGGCGCCTTTCACCCAGGGGAAAGTTGTTTGGGTTGGTAGTACCAAACGGCCCAACTTTGGGCGGCCAAAACCGAAAAGGTTTTGGCCTGGGCTCTTTCTACCAATTATCCCACATGGGGGAAACACTAGAAGTCTAGTAGCAGAGGACAGTGGCCATTAGTACCCCTACCCTTCTGAGAATGAGAATCGAAGTTTCAGTGAAATATACCTTCTGGCACGGAAACACTAGCGATGACAATCCCACCTCGACTGAATCTTTCTCGTCAAACCAATGGTGAAAATGAAAAATGCAAAATGTAGCATTCTTAAATGGGTTAATAGCAAAAATATTGCTGTATCGAAGTTTGGCAGCAAAAATGTCGTCCCGGCCGAGATGCCTAGGCGACTGCCTTTGGCAGCAAAAATGTCTTCCGTTCCACGGCCGTGGAAAAAAAAAAACACAAGAAACGTGGCCATGGCCTGCAAAAAAAAAAAAAAAAAAAGGGAAATTTTTTGAAATGCCCCCAAAGTTTGTGTTTATTTGCGGCGTGCCCCTGTAAAGGCCAAAGTACCCTTTGGTGCCCCTCGGGCCTCTGAAATTTTCTGCAGGCCCCTGTCAGCATGGGGTGTAACTTTCCAATACGCCCTTACTGGACCGCTGGTGGCGTTTCGTCGGTCAGTCCTTGAAATGCCCTCAGGAGGGGCACACATCTTTCTGTGATGCCCTTGCAGCAGTGTTGGCAGGAATTCGAATTCAATGTGGTATGCATTCCAGGCGCCGCCACGGAAAAACGGTCTGTATATGTGTGTGTGTGTTCTGTGTGTGTGTGTGTGTGTGTGTGTGTGTGTGTGTGTGTGTGTGTGTG